TCGGCAATCGACCTCGACCTCCCGCCGGTCCTGGAGGGACCCAGCCCTGCCCAGCCACACCCTCGGCTGCCAACATCTGGAGGGCAAGACTACACGGATTTTCTGAGTTTCCAGGATTCCATTTCCATTACGCGTACAAAATAAAAGTAGTACCATGTTCTAAAAACAGTGGAAAGTATGAAAAAACAATAGGGAGAAAAAAATCACTGATAATCTCGTATGGTGTTTAACACAACTCTTAACCTCTCTCTCCCCAGGATTCCAAAGCCATGTCGGTCAGAGAGTCAGGGTCGCCTGGTGAGTGGGGTCTGCCCCCCGGACCCCCACCCTGTCGTGGCAAAGCACCGGGTGAGAGATGGGGCTGCTCCTGAAGCCTCGGTCTCCCAACCCCCTTCCCACCCCAAGGGAGCGACACCCAGCCCACGGTGCCCGAGGCCTTCACCTAGACCTATCTCGGGGGCACAGGGCGCGGGCAGGGCGCCCCCTCCCCCTCACGGGAGCAGGCTGCAGAGGAGGCAGAGAAGGGGGCCTGGGGGAGGGGGACGCACATCTGGATCCCTGGCCCAGAGCCCACATTCCTTCCCTGTGAGGGGGAGGCTGTGGGCTCTCGGGAGGGCTGTGAAGATGCTGCTGGCCCCCTCCTGCCCCACGGTAACAGGACCCACCTCGGCAGGACGACTGGGGGGACTCGAAGGCCCAGAACCTCATTCTAGGGTCCCCCACCCAGATTGCTGACTGGCCAGTGCAGCACCAAGCTGGGGGCTCTGTCCTGTCCATACCAGCCAGCCTGCCTCAGAAAAACCAGAGGGGACAAAAAGGTGGCGACCAGCAGCCACGGGGCCAGGCGCTCGCCGAAGGGGCCCTGGGGGGACTCAGGGCCCACAGGTCAGCAGGGGCCCTGAGCCCCGCCGGGGCTGGGCTGCCTTACCTGGGGGCAGTCCTTGATGTAGTGTCCTTTGTTGAAACACAGGTGGCACAGGTAGTTGGGCGGGGGCCGCTTGCTGGGCTTGCGGGTCTCAGAGGTGAGGGTCAGTTCGGAGAAGTGCTCGGTGAGGGAGCTGAGGCCATCGGCGATGTTGTTGAGGGAGCCGTAGGGCGAGGCGCTCTTATACACGCTGCTGCTCAGCGCCTGCAGGGGACAGAGGCTGTGAGGGCTCTGGAGGCCTGGCCACTTACGGCGCTGTGGCCTCCTGGGAACCTCCGCAGGCCCGTACACACACACGGACACGCACACGCGCGCGCGCGCGCACACACACACACACACACACAGACGAATTCATAGTGACCCTTCAGCCGCCTGAGGGCTCCAGCTTCCTGGAGGCTGCATTCAAGTCCTACCTCTAGTTGTGCAACTACGGACAAGCCAGTTAACCACTCGGGGCCTCAGTGGCCCCATCCGGTAAATGGGAATAACGATAGCTACCTCCAAGGGTTTCTATGAGCCTAACGTGAGGCCAAGAATGTAAAGCCCTTTATTTCCTGCCGGGCCCTGAGGACGCACTCAGTATATGGGGATGGTGATGACGATGATCATAGCTCTCTACACACTGCCAGGGGTAAGACGTATGGCACAAAGCAACCTGTTAGAGCCGGGGCTCTGCCACGTCCTAGTGGGGTGACTTGAGACATCAGCTCGCAGCATTGTTTCCATAGTACAGAGGAGGAGACTGAAGTCCAGCATTTTGCCTGGTCTCCTGCAGCCCCAGGCCTGTGCGCACTGTGTTCCGGGGAGCCCTCGTCCCGGCCCAGGCCAGGTCTCTGGAAGCCCGGGGAGGAAGCGGCCCACCTCTCTCACCTCTCCCACCTCCAGTTGACAGGAACCAGATGTCTTGCCTGGCTTCAAAGTAGACGCGGCCCAGGCCCCCTCCTGGTGTATACAGCTTCTATTTATAGGAGTCACGGGCTCTGGGCGGCCGGGCACACTGGAATTTAGCAAAGGTGGGGCCTGCGGTGAGGCTGGCAGGGAATGGCCGTGGGCCCCTCTCCTGGGGCCAGGCCAAGGCTGGAAAGAGGCAGCTTCCCCAGGAGGCTGATGACATACCTGGGCACAGGGCTTGGGCACACCTGGCCCCAGCTAAGGTGCCCGAGAACCCCAGCAGTGAACTACAGACCTTGGGGAGCCTTGTTGGAGAGACAACACAGCCCTGTTCTTGGGGGTCCCCAGGCTCACAGGGGACGAGAGCCACCGAGAGGAAGTTGCCTCAGGCTCTCTTACAAAGATGGGACAGAAGGAGCCCAGGGTAGGGACAGTGCTTTCTGTGTCCCCTCAGTGTGGGAAGGGAGGGAGGTGAGCTGAGAGCTGGCCCCAGGGGATTAGATACCCCTGGTCCAACCAGGACAGATCCCACCCCTCACACATGTACGCCTCTGGGGGTCTGGCACTCCTCCCTAGAGGACACAGCCCTCACTCTTCTTGGCTCCCTGGACACCCTGCTATGTGACCCCGGGCCAGCCCTTTCCCTCTCTGGGCCTCTGTTCTCTCCCATGTAGGTTTAGACCACAGCCTGGGATCTGGAAGGAAAGACAGAGACACCACATCCAGGGCAGCCAGGCCCAACACACAGTCAGTTTGCAGTGACTGGGCATTGAACTCAAAGGGTCCTAATGACTATTTCTTCTCTACCACTGCCCAGGGCTACTGTGAAAGATCCCACACAAACCTGCATCAAGTCTCAGGGCAACTCTCCAGCTCTTAGATAGCCCCAGATGGTCCATCCTGAAAGGCAGAGGGTCCCCCATCCCTGGAGCTATGCGAGCCAAGACTGGACAACCTTAAAGGATGTGGGGAAGGTCCCAAAGGAAGTGGGATTAGATGATAATAGTAACATATACTGAGCACTTTAATGTCCCTGGTGCTGGAAACTTTACACGCGTTAAGATAGCTGACGCTCACCACAGCCCTATGAGCCACTGTCCCCATTCTACAGATTGGATGAGTGTGTCCAACCCTGTATTGAATGGCCTGGGACACTTTTAACAAATACAGTTTTCTGGGCCCCACCTCAGACCTACCAAAGCAGCCACCTAGGAATGAGGGCCCCAAATCTACTGCATTGTTTCATTGCAGTAAAATATACATTACATAAAACCTACCCTTTCAACAATTTTTAAGTGTGCAGTTCAGTGGCATTAAGTACATTCACATCCTTTATCGCACAACCCTCACCAGAACCCATCTCCAGAAATTTTTCATTATTCCAAACTGAAACTCTGTCCCTGTTAAACACTAACTCCCCGAAGCCCAAGTCTGCATTTTAAAGCTCCCCTGGGGCAGCTCAGGTACAACCTGTCCAGTCCTACCTGGCCTCGGGAGCACCTGGACCTTCCAGCTATCAAGGTCTCTCCTTAGCTTGTCTCTAGACCTCTCCCCACCAGAACTGGTCTGGGGGAGGGCAGTATTGCCCCAGACTCCCAGAGAAAAGTTCATCCAAACAAGAAACTTGAGGCTCCAAATGGTGTGACTCACCCTCATGGCTGGGAAATGCAAGTTCACAAATAACAACCCTCTTATTTTTTTTCTCTTTTCTTTTCTTTTCTTTTTTTTTTTTTTTCTGGATAAGACTTAAGCAAGTCCACAGGAATCAGGGCTGTTTTGGCAGCAACTTGTCAAGAGGAAGGGGAAGTTTGGTGGGTGCCAGAAGAGCACTAATTACACCCTGAAAAAAACCTCTCCCCCATCTTGTGGCCACACACCCATGCCCACGAGTGGCCCTGTGGGTATCCCTGGGCAGCCAGAGGCCTCCGAGCAGGTTGTCCTCTCCCCGGCAGCTTGACATCCCCCCCCATAGCCTCAGACGGGGCACAGCTTTGCCCCTCAGGAGGGTCACACAGGCAGCTGCGGGTCAGAGAAGCGAGGCCAGAGCTCCCCTCATGGCCGACCAGTGTGCTCCGGCCTGGCCCTCACGGGCGCTCCTTCCCCCCGCCACCGTTCAAGACGACACCACGAAAGGATGAAAGGCGGAACAGTCAACCGACCCAACCTCACTCTCAAGTTCCAATGGAGAAACTGAGGCCCAGCGAGGCCCGGGGGCACAGACCAGAGCACACAGCCAGACCTAAGGGCCAGGAGTCCTGCTTGCTGGCCGGCTGGACAGGCAGGTGGGGCAGCAAGCTGTTTCCTCTCCGAAGCTCCAAGGAGCTCGGGCCATGGAGGTGAAAGGCAAGTTGGTCTCTCGGACATTTCCACGGCCTGTGGGGACTGGCCAGAGCAGAGGCCAGGACACACAGAGCTCCCTCCCTCTGTCTGTGGAGCCGGGGCCCTGGCCTTTTGGGTTTCCCACGTGTGAAATGTAACATGGACCAGGGAAGGAGGGCAAACTTGATGATTTCTGCCAGCCTGCTTCTTCAAGGTCCAGATTCCAGGTACTGAAAGATGCCCCCAGAGCCTGGTCCACAGAGGGCACTTCATCCACGAGGTCACCACCTCTCCCAAGTCCTGCCGTCTGTAGCTGGAGGGCAAGGCTGGGCAGGGCTCCCCTTCATCAGTCAGCCCCTAACTCTGCAACAACGAAGCTGCTCCCCTTACTGTCCCACCAGCAACCGCTTTTTTCCCTCCAGGCCTGCACTTGCTGTCCACCCCTGGGATGCCCACTCTGGGTCCAAAGCCCTGCAGGACCGGGCTCTTGGCCATGGCTCTAACTCTAGTGGTGTGGCCTTGAACCCACCCCTTCTTCTTTCTCAGGCCTGGGCGCCAAGGGGCGGTGTGAAAAGCACAGGTTCAGGTGCTACTGAGGCCCCACTGGCCACAGAGTCCCCGGCCCCCTCCAGGGGCCTCCCGACCTCCCGGCCATAGCCCTGCGCTGTAGGCTGGGGTGGGGACCACCCTGTGACTCCCCTGCCCTTGCCTGAAGGGGCTCTGATGTCTCTCTCTAACCTCTTTACACGGTGATACCTCCTCATCTCTCCACAAGGCTGGACATCCCCGAAGGCAAAGATTCTGCCACCCTCCGTTGCCCCAGAGACCAGACTGTTTCTGCTGTTCCCCACGCCCATGACTGTCCGGTGTGCAATAATCACAGGCAGGAAGGGAGCTCCACTTGACAGATGAGGGTATGGATGCCCCAACACCTCGAAGGATTTAGGCCAGGGTCTCTGAGTTCCCACGGACTAAGGCTGAGGGTGATTTCACCTCAGATGTAGCTGCTCTGGGCAGTGGTTGTGGGCAGCCCCACTAGTGTGTGGCTCTGGGTTATCTGCGCCCAAATCACCAGCCTGGGGGAAGAAACCACCCCTCCTTCCTCCCTGGGTCAGCGACCCCAGCAGCTAGTGGGAAGCGTGGGATCCTTATGCCACATGTGGGGAACAAAGCATCAGATTCCTATCCATTGCTGGAACTCCTCCAAGGTTCTGGCTTGGCTGTTGGAAAAGATTAGATGGGAAGATACTACACTTTATTCTCATCCTACTTGTGTTAGATACTTGACTGGATCCCTTCCCTTTCTTAGTCTCATCCCTGGCAAGGACACTCTGGATGGGCCTTATTGGTCCTATTTTATAGAACTGGAAACTGAGGCTCAGCGAGGCTGTGTAACTTGCCCAAGGAAGCACAGCCAGCATGTGGCTGAGAGGAGAGTCACGCACAGATCTGTTGGCCTGCTGTATTTCAGCCCCCGAGTGGCCTCCAAGGCTTGGCTTCCCCTACGGGAAGGGGACCCAGAGTAAAACACCTGGCGTGGACCATCCTCCTTGGCACAGAGGCCCTGTGACGTCACATTGCCAAGCCCCTCAGCCCTGGCAAGATGAGGCACCAGCTTCTCTGGGCTGCTTGAGGGGCCTGGGCCCCGGGGTTGGTGGTTCTGTTGAGGGGTTGGGGATACATAAGTGGAGATGTCCAGGGCTGACTCGACCTGACAAGATGTGCTCCCCCTTGGCTGCCCCCGCCCCAGGACAGAAACAGGGCACAGTGGGAGCGGGGGGAGGCAGGAGTTAGGGCAGGTGGGCAGAAGCTTCCGAGGGCAGCCCAGAGGGAGAAGCAATGGGTGCAAGAAGAGAAGAGGGGCAGCGGCAGAGGCGGGGGCAGCCCGGCAGGGAAGGGCATGGCAGTGGCAGTGGGCAGCGTCCAAGGAGGTCTGTCCGAAGCTGAGTCCTGCTGCCCCTGGGCCTGAGACGGCCCTGGAGGAGGAATTCTCT